AAAAACCCCCTCCCCTCACCCCACCCCACCCCCCACGTTTTCCAACTGTTTCACACCAGGAAAAACTTCCTCCTCTTCCTCCCTGTGCTTCCTCTTCCTCCAGGATGTCCTTCCGGGATTTCCTCCGGGAATTCACCCGCTTAGAGATCTGCAACCTCACCCCGGACGCTCTCCAATCCCGCAAGTTCCGCAAGTGGAACACGCGGCTCTACGACGGGACGTGGCGACGCGGCAGCACGGCCGGCGGTTGTAGGAATTACCCCGGTAGGCGCCGCCGGTGATGGATTCTCACCTCAAAACCACTCTTTTTGGTGACAAACCAATTACTTTAACTGCTTTTTGGGGTTGTTTTTTACTTTTTCAGCCACTTTCTGGATAAATCCGCAGTTTAAGATCCAGCTGGAGGAGGTGGATGACGACGGGGATGAGGGCGGCGGGCGCGAACCCGGCTGTAGCTTCCTGCTGGCGCTGATGCAGAAACACCGGCGCCGCGAGCGCCGTTACGGCAAAGACATGGAGACCATCGGATTTGCCGTCTACGAGGTAACGGCGTCAACCGGTGACATCAACCGGTGGCGTCAACTGGTGACGTCAACCGGTGGTGTCAACTGGCGACGTCAACTGGTGACATCAACTGGTGGTGTCAACCAGCGATGTCAACCGGTGGCATCAACTGGTGGTGTCAACCGGTGGCATCAACCCGTGGTGTCAACTGGTGACATCAACCGGTGACATCAACTGGTGGTGTCAACCGGTGACATCAACTGGCGGCGTCAACCGGCGACGTCAACTGGTGACGTCAACCGGTGGTGTCAACTGGTGACCTCAACTGGTGTCACCCAGCACCACTGCTCGCCCTCACCTCTCTGTTTCTCTCCCTACAGGTTCCTCCCGAGGTGGGTCCAACTCGCCGGCAGTGATATCACCGTAACCAGGAACCCCCAGAAGGTGTTTTTGGGGTTATTTTGGGTGTGATTGGTTTTTCTCCCCCCACCGGCAGCACGTGGGGAAATCAGGCGTCCACTTGAAACGGGATTTTTTCTTGGCCAACGCTTCCCGGGCTCGTTCGGAACAATTCATCAACCTACGGGAGGTGAGCACCCGGTTCCGGTTACCGCCGGGAGAATACATCGTGGTGCCTTCAACCTTCGAACCCAACAAGGAAGGAGACTTCGTTCTCCGCGTCTTCTCTGAGAAGAAAGCCGGCACCGAGTAAGGAACTGCTCGTTAACGCTAACGAGCCCTGGTGATGACTCTTGAGGGCAAACTCCACTTCTAATTATCTCCGCTCCGCAGGGAAATGGATGATAAGATCCAAGCGACGCTCCCGGATGAGGTGAGGGTGATGGTAACACCGTAGGATGCTGAGGCATCACCTTTTTTTACCAAAACATCCCTTTTTTTCCTCAGAAAGTGCTCTCTGAAAGCGAAATCGACGAGAACTTCAAGCAGCTCTTCAAGCAGCTGGCGGGGGCGGTAAGAGCGGCGCCGGGATCGGTGCCGGGATCGGTGCCGGGATCGGTGCCGGTGGTGAC